CCACCCGTAGTTCAAATGGGTACGAAACTTAGTCCAAAACTTAAAATGTGGGAAAGGGCACTAGCAGTGAGAAGTAGGGAAGGCCAATGCATGATCAACTGCCCGCAACTCAAAAGTACCATCAAAGCATGAAATTGTTAGAAAGTCACCTCCGTTTCGTTGTTCATGAAAAAGGCAGCGCTCAGACCATCGAGATACTTATTGTGAGCCTCCACCACAGCATCCAAATCTATAGCATCATCAATCCAAATTCGAAGTCTTTTGAAAAACTGGTCTACCTGAGAGAAATACTTTGCAGCGTTCCATATTCATTAGGCGCCATACACGGAAGATAATAAATCAGCACAGAGAGAGAATAAGCAAAAGGTTTGGCACTATTCAACTATTACTACCCCAGTTTTGCGAAAACAGGCCGGATCTTGATCGACTTTTTTCTACGGGGGTGGATTTGGCTGAAAGTTGGGTTCTAGGGGTAATTCGACCTCCTGAACACGAATATCACATCCACTTGGCCTGAAATTGCCTGGCGCCCGCGCCATAGGCGCCAGTGATTTGGGGCATTTTGGCGCCGGCGCCCGTAGCGCGGACGCGGAGCGGTTTCAAGCCGAGGGAATGTGATATTCGTGATTAGGAGGTCAAACTACCCCTAGGTACAAGTTTTCAGCGGATTTCGTGATCTAGGGTACTTTGGCGCCGGCGCCTGTGGCGCGGGCGCCAGGCGGTTTCGAGAGGAGCGGATGTGATATTCGTGTTCAGGAGGTCGAATTACCCCTAGAACCCAACTTTCAGCCAAATCCACCCCGTAGAAAAAAGTCGATCAAAATCCGGCCCGTTTCCGGAAATCTGGGGTAGTAATAGTTGAATAGTGCCAAAGGTTCTAACAGCAAAAGATACTATTGGTGATAAGGAAAGAAACATAAACTCATAAACACAGTTTGTTCAAAAACGTACCACTTCAGCTATATAGATACGGATTCGAAGAAGAATACGCTCACAGAACGATAATAAAGCTGATGTTAGGCGAAGCGCTTTCACGGAGTCTATAACAGCCGCAAATTTGTAAAGAAAATCTATTAGCTCATTGTAAACTCATTTAACCGGTACCTACCATTAGTAGTAGCCCTGCTCATTCGAGCAGCTGTCTGCCCGAAAGCACTTGCATGCTCAGAAATCATAAATAAACTCATTTCCACTGGCCACACAAAGTGAAATAGGGACTCGTATCTGATGTGAAATATTTAACGCCATCAAATATTTTCGGAACACTTCGCTCAGAATAAGCGCCGCACAAACTGTAAACGGGAAGAGGTATTCGGAGTGTCGTTGATCTGGAAATATAAAGTAAATCAGAAAATATCAGAGGAGGAAAGGTAAGCAGAACGTACCGAAGAGAGAGCTTCTAGATTGAATGGGAAAGAAAAACGCTGTGCAGTTTTTGATGAAGCTGCCGCAGCAATCAACGCATTGCTCGCATCACGCTGTGATAGTTTACTACGAAGCCCATGAGTGCACTCACTAAATACCAGGTTTCAATGAACTTCAAATCACTTCTTGCGATGACTTACCAGAACTGACGATACAACGAAAGGGAGAACTGAGGATCGTGGAGCAGAAAGAAACAATGAGCAGCGTTCAATGATCCAACAAATGTAGGCTCCTCCACAAAGCTGCGCACAACGCTACCACATACGAGGCCACACGCTTCGCGTACCACGTATTCTAATCTATGGCGCTCGCCTGAACATTGGGAAGGTCTTTACTTGTTTTCATTTCTTACTTTTTCTCAATTCCTTGGGTGTATTTTAGGAGATCCGGCATCACGCGGCCAACCGCCTAGCACCTTGGTGTATCGGACACAGCATTCTCAAAACCAATGAGGTACGGCAGCTTCCGCGTGACATGCACTCACAGCCCTTATCTGCAAAATTTTGTCATAGGATCCTAAATAATTTGCAGCGAATGCTTTGTGTAATTATTATATAATAATGAGGGCGATCCCACAGTGATCCTCAACTAGGACACGCCTTGCTGTTAAGCAAAAAATTTTGCGAAATCTCTCCCTTCACCCTTTCTTATCTCTGGTACGACACACTCCTCCTCCCGCCGCCCCACCTTCCTCACCCATAGCCACTACGATGCTTCTGTGAATTCTCCTCAACCATCTACCATATTTCCGGAAATCCACCAGTTTCCCCCAAAAAACTACCGTGCAGCAGGAGGCATGGGTAGTTAGCGCCAGTGAAAGGAACAAAAAACCAAGGACAGTCAAACCGAAAGCATTTCTGACGAAAGCAAATGCGATCGCTCCCTTACTGATTTGATGTCAAAGTGCTACGACGAGTCAACTAGGGTGCTTTTATGCGCGTAATGCCAAATCTTGGATCTCTCAAACAACGAGTCAATTTCTTCACCAAAGACAAACAATAACAAAAAGAAGCTTGAGAGCATGGAAGAACGGGTAACGTGATTTATCACGACTTACTGGGAAGATAGAGACATTTTGAATCCAACTGGGAAGCAACAATTGCTCGAGCCTTATCCAAATTTTCCGAGCTTTTACGCACATCCACTGACCTCCATGACTTCCCGGTTTTCAAAATCTAATATAAATAGAAGTAGAAGGGATACTAAAGCGAAACAAAGACTCTGCAACTTACGTATTCAGCGATCCACCTAGGAAAAAAGGGAGGAATCCACACCAGCCGATAACCTCGTTGAGGACAGGAAGCAATCATCTGCTGAAATGAATAGAAGATATTTGACGGGAAAAGGAAAAAAAGTCAAACACTTGAAGAAAAACAGCGTCACCCTATGAAGTATGGTTCGCAAAAAGCTCACCAGATCACACTGATCCAATTCAAAGCCACTCATCCATCGCGATATCGACCGGCTCAGCACTCCTCCACAGCAAGCTAGCACTTTCTCCACAACACTGAATAAACTAATAGTACCCTTCGCAGCGCCTGCAGGTATTAGCATGTATTGAAGAGATGATCCTCACAAGTTTTCCCTCACAGGACTATAAACCGTGTAAATTAACTCCATTAGGCGTGTTCCAGGCTCATTCCGAAGATTATATAACCTCTGCAAGATTATTAAGCGATCTCTCCAGGTTTCCATTGCGGATAAAATGCTGAGTACAGTCAACGGGCGACACTGCAAATAGTTGATAACGATAGAAACTAAAACGATTCCTAATGATATTATAGCTAAGCTACACGGTGACGCAAACAATGAAGCATCTGCCTTTCTCTCGGCTAAGCGTTGGGAGAACGCAGACGATCAAGTCGCGGCGAAAGAGGCGTTGCAAGAAGGGGGATGTGCGCTTTATTCGTGGCGTGGATATTCTCTCTGTGTCAGTGTCTCTCACGTCAACTAGCTAGAAAATGCTATCCTAGTACGAATAGTAGATGACGCCACTTGGTCGTAAGAATGTGTTCACACCGCGGTTCGATCGCTTGCATCGCGCGATTCTAACCATCGCATCGCGAAGAATGAACGCGCTATTTCGGGGGGGGGGGGGGGGGGGGTGTACACCCTCACCGTGTAGCCCGTTCTCAACTCAATGACGTCATTTGTCATGAATAATAGCGATCAGTTTTACATACTCACATTGACGGGAACATCGCCAACGTCATGAATATAGTCTTCGAGGATGGACTGCGATTCCAACAAGAAAGCCTAAACGAGTGAACTAGGTGTAATAGCGTACTTAGCTTCACAGGCACTTTATATAAATTACGTTTCAAAAACGGAAAAGAAAAAAAATATAACAAAAATCTTCTAAAAAACAAGTAAGAATGAAAACAGCAAGCAAGTGCAAGTACCTGTGCAAGCAAGTCATCATTATGATTAGGAGGTACTCGCGCCACGTCAGCATATAAATGAGCAATTGACAAGACACTTTCAACAGCATATTTTTGAGCCTTAAATATAAAATCGCACATGATAATTAAATTATATACATTTACAATGTTGCAGTGTAACAATACCTGTGACAAGGAGCAAGAGTCCGTCACTCGTAAGTACCCCCGGGCGTCTTTCTTGAAGTATGTGCCTTCCAAACCTTGAAGGGCTCCACAAAGCTCTATACACAAAACCCGTTCAGGCACACCTAAACACCAAATATGTAGGCAGACTCCAGAAAAATAAGAACGTAGACAAAACCGTAATAGGAGCGATTTGAGAAGCTAGCTGCTCCTACAAAACACCAGAATCGAATGGCCCAATTTCAAGTGAAGGGGCCGTATATTCGTTAAAATACAACTAGAGTTATACCCTTGTTCGCTGCGAATGCTAGGTCCGTCAAGGGAACCGATTAAACGCGGTGCCAACCCTTTTTCACCAATTGTGAAAACCGGCAAGCGAACTCATTTGATGGAAAACGGGCCGGGCCAAACCACACGCCCCAGCATCTGCAACGAACAAGGCTGTATGTGCAAATGCGTCCACATCCCCATGGCAATGAAATGAGGAGAAATGAACGAGCCATACAGATATAAGCACAAAACCAATCTTGGTATCCAGAAGTGAGATCTCATAGAGGACCTTCGTTACATCCACGTAAGCCATTCAGAATGGCGACTTTACAGGTTGAAAGATTATCTCTTCTAGCGTGGTCTGACGTAAAGGAAAACTAACTGGCAGTAGTTCCCATACGAGC